ACTGACTGATCGTCGGAACAGGGTACGCACTGGTTTGGAGTCGCCGAAACATGTGCCAACGACGCCCTCACACCAACTCCTCATAGGTCCTGACTCCTGTCCAACTGCCCCAACTCTGGGGCCATCGCCTTGACGAGGCTGCGCTGGGTCGCGAGCTGAGAGCCCAACGCGCCAATGCGATTGATCTGCTTCTCCATGCGGAAGCCGTCTTTGACGCGATCTCGCTGAACTCGAGCCAGCTGCTCTTCCAGGCCCACCTAGGTTGGGACGCGGGGCGCCGAGCAGCGAGCTGAGCAAGAGCACGACCAGAATCATCAGATTTGCCGAGCCTGACCGAAAGACCGACAAAAGGACTCCAACTCGGCGTCCGACAGCGAAGAGGGCTGGCTTCCTCCACCAGTGAACGTCCACTGCCTCCTTGGAGACCAAGGCTGCAAGCAACATCGCCAGGCCTGAACAAAGCCAGCCCGACGCCCCTGCTCATGAGCCCGAACATGGGAAGCCGGACGAGAAGCGAAGCGTGCTTTCAAAGTCGTACGAGGGACGACTTTTCTTGCGCCCGCAGGATCCACGAGCCCAGTTGCCTCCGTCGCGCCGAGGGGCCCCCATAACGACGGAGAGGCTGAGGCCCAGGGGCCAGGCCATAGGACAGGCAATTGTTCACGCCACGGCGAAACACTACTGCCTCCAGCCACCTTTCCCTGAACCTTGGCCGTAAACTTTACAAGGAGGACTCGCCCATCCCGCGTGCCATGGGCGCCACGACACACGACCAATATCCCCCTCTTCCTTTAGAGACACCCTTCTCCCTATGGCGGCCGCGAACGGATCGTGGTGGCGGGTGCTCCGAAGGAGCAAATGGAAACGAGGGTTGAAATCCCTCGAACTGAACGAAAGACTGGGCCCGCAACGGCAATGTGCTGTTCTGTAACTGTGCTGTTGCAAACGCGGGCAACCATCCCGAGCCAGGGCGGTTCAGAAGGCACGGGAAGGGGGGGCAAAGGAAGCGAGAGAGGATTCTGCCGACCCCTCCTTGCCCGGGGTGCAAGACCGTGTGACATGATCGGCTGTCCCCTCTCCCCCTTTCCCCCTCCCCTGGGGTCTGGAGCCCGGGAGGGTGCCTGGGGGGGTGGGGACGTACTCACCAACACATCTGAAGGGGCCCTGGGACACACAAATAAATACACACAAATGACAGGACTCCCCCTGTTTTCCATATTTTCTGGGTTTTCGTCTTCCCCCGCACTTCCCATAATTTCCCATATTTTCTTGGGAATCGACGATGGATTGCGTCTGTGTGTTATGTTTCCCTCCTGAATATCTGCGGGGCCTCCGCGGAGCCTCCGGGGACTCCACATCAAAACCTTGTGGCCTCCGTGATGCCAAAAGCGCCACATGAGCTGGCTCAAGCTGGGCATCCGCACGCCGGGGAGGGTCCTCGAAGACGACCAAAATGGTGTCAAGACTGCCCCAGAGGACGCACAGACGCGGCAAGAGGGCTTAAAGACACCCCCCGGAAAAAGGGCCGCACGAAGCAAGAATCGTCGAAAACCCAAGGGGAAGCTAAACCCTGAACAGATTCACATCTTCGACGTAACAACGCCCAAGACGGTTTTTCAACAGGCCCCCAAAGATCGCCCCAATACAAACCAAGGAACCCCCCAAGAGGGTCAGAATACGACCAAAGAGGGCCCCATGACGCCCCAAGAGGCGCCCAGAATGGGCCAGAAGAGCTCCGACTGGGCCCCAGAAGGCGCAACTCGAACAGCAGGAGTCGGCGGTGGACAAAACTCCCTTTAGTAGACCTCCCCTCAGTAAAAACGACCTGGAACCGAAGCCGACGGACCTGGACCCGCAAAAACGACGGCCGCGACGCCCTCACGCGAAGCGAAAACGGCCAATTCCCGCATCGACATGTCAGGGGAGGAGGTCTGTCCACCCCCGAGGGAGGGGGCCCCAGAGGGCCCCCCGGAGATCGCCAGCAGGAGCCCCAGAAAGTGCCCTCGATCCAGATGGAAGGCCCACGAGGCCCTCCAGGAGGCTGCCGGAGGGCCCCCGGAATGCCCCCAAACGGCCCGCCCGTGGACTTCATCCCTCTTCTGGGGCTCAGCGGAATGGCGTGAGCCTCCGGAAAAACTATCAGTTTCACCCTCTTTCATCCTCCTCTGTATCCAGTAACCTTCGTCGTCCTCCTTCATCTCGACGTCCCCCTCTTCCCTCTCCTCAGCGTCACTGTTTTCGCGCCCCCCTGAAACGCACAGGGAACATAGGGTATGTGGCAGAATCTGATCGGAGAGGAAAATGATGATGAAGAGGGGACGGGAGAGATATGGGAAAAGGGGAGGAAGGCCAAAAGGAAAGAAGCCGGAAACGAGAGCTAGCACTTCGGGACTTGCAGCTTGGAACCAGAAAAAAGAACCTTGGGGAGGAGAGTCAGGGCAACGGAATTGGGGAAGAGCTCGGGCGCGCGCAAACATGGATTAGCGATCCATGGATTTGGCGCGCGGTCGCCAAATCCATGGATCGGGGGAGGTGCCCTCCCCGAAATGCGGCCGGTGCCGCCTCGCTCGGCGGCGGAAACCCGCGATCTCCCATGGAAACGGGACCCGTCGCTAATCCACGCCCCCGGATCCATGTTTGCGATCGCCTGACGAGCGGGAAGGCCCGCGCGACGCAAAGGCCCGCGGGTCCTGGACCTGGACTCGCCGGTTGACGAGGTCCAGCGCGTTCAGGGCGTGCTGGACCTGTCGGCGGGCGGCGGGCACTTTCTGCGGCCGCGATTTCAGACGCCAGTGATGGCTGCCGGCGCCACAGGACGGGCACTGCGTGGTGGGCTTGTTTTCCACCACCTCGATCCATGAGTGGGAGGGGGAGGGGGTCTTCCTCCTCCTCTTCTTCCTCCTCATCCTCCACCTCCTTCCCCCCTCCAACTCATGGTGGTGGTGAAAAACAGGCCCATCGACATGTGCCTCTCGCCTCAGCGCCGCGCATAGTCATTTTCAAAGATAGCTGAAGGTTCACAGACGGAGGTCGCCTCGTTTTCAAAACGTGGCTCTCGCCTTGGCGCCGCGCACCTTCATCTCACAAGCTTGCAGGAGCCTCACAGATGGAGAATGCCTCCTTTCAATATGTGGTTCTCGCCGTAGCGCTGCGCAAATTCGTCCTAACAGTTTCAAGAGAGTTGCACGCATGAAAGACGGTTCGTTTTCAAAGTGTGATTCTCGCCTCAGCGCCACGCGCATCAGACTTACAAATGCGCAGGAATTTCAAAGATGGCAAGCGGGTCGTTTTCAAAATGCGGTTCTCGCAATACCGCCGCGCACACTGGTCGTAAACCTTTCCAGCATTTTCAAATACTCTCATGGTCGACATATCAGGAATGGTGCTGCACGATTTCGGACTGTCAAAGCGCAACCTTCAGATTGACTCGCGGTGCTGAAATCCCGGAAATGGCATTCTGGCGCGATTCAGATCGTCGGAACGCAACAATACCGTGCCTTCGCAACTTTGAAGCCCAGGAGCGGCGTTCTGGAACAAACTAAGACTGTCAGAGCACAACAGTCACGTTGATTCGCGGTGCTGATTTCCTGGAGATGGCATTCTGGCGCGATTCTGGCGCAGTACCGTGAACTCGCAGCGTGGAAGCCCCATGGATGGTGTTCTGGCACGACTGAGGATTCTCAGACGATGGTCCTCCAACGGGACACTTCCCGCGGTGGAAGATTAATTCTTCGATGGGGCTACCAGGAAAACTTGGTTGATGGGTGTAGTGCAACTTCGTTGATGCGTCTTGGTTTTACTCTGGTCCTCCTCCTCCTCCTCCTCCACCTCCTCCTCCCTTCCCTCCAGGAACCCACCCCACTTCGTCCGTCCTCCCACCCACCCTTCGTCGTTCCACCATCTCCTCCTCCTCCTCCTCCTCCTCCTCATCGCCCTCCACCCCGTGACGGCATGGAGCAGAAGAGAAAAAAAGAGAAGGGGCGGGGGTCGGGATGGGGGAGGAATGAGGGAGAGCAAGTGGAGGGGTTCGGACGAAAGAGTAACATCATCGTGTTACCATTCGAACGCCAGATTCAGGAATGATGAATCTTGTCTGGCCACGGCAAGCCTCGGCCCTGCTTCCCACCAGCCCTTTAGAGCGTGAATGGTCTAGCAAATGTCCTCTTTCATCTTCCCGGGGAGGTCCCCTCCCCCGTGGGCTTGGAGGGGGGCGTCTCGCGAGGAGTTGGATCGTCCAAGATGGCCTCGGCGAGGAAGCCCACACCATTGATGTTATGAAGATTTTGGCCACATCTTGGCCTCCTGGGGGGGGGGCACCTGAAGAGCACCCCTCCTCTGATCGACCTCTTCCAAGATGACGCAACAATGGCCCTCGAGGCTCCCAAGGGTGCCCCAAAACGGCCCCAAAGCCCCAAGAGGCCCCAAACGGCCTCAAGATGCACCCAGGGAGGTCCCCAAAGACCCCCAAGAAGCCCCAGGCACCCAAGACGCCCCAAGAGACCTCGGGAAAAAGGCCCCAATCATCGATGCCACTTAAAATCTTGGCTACATGTTGGCCTCCAGGGGGGGTCACCGAATTAAGGAGCCCCCTGACCGATCACCTCCATGATGTCCCCAAGATGGCCCCGAGGCTCCCATGGATGCCCATCGACGGCCCCAAGAGGTACCCAGGAGGCGCCAAGAGGCCCCGAAAGCCCCAAGATGCCCCCAAATGGTGCCCATAGGACCCCTAGGACACCCCCCAGGGGAACCGACAACGCCCCTTGATGTCTCGGCGACCAGGCCCAAATCATCGATCCCACAATGCTTGCATTCAGGTGCTCTTGCTACAAGTGGAAAAATATGGCGTTTTGCCCGGTCTGGCGGTAATATGATCGCCGCCGTCGCCCCGGCGCTGCCCGTCGTCTGGGCCGTTTGGCCGGTTTGGCGGCAATATGATCGCCGCCGTCGCCCCGTCGCCTCCCGTCGTCTGGGCTGGTTGGCCGGTCTGGCGGCTATGTGGTCGCCGTCGCCGCCTCGTCGTCTCGTCGTCGTCGCCCGTCTCTTGGGCCTTGTTGCGCGCTGCTCACAACATGGATTCCCCTTTCAAGAAAAGAATTAGGATCCCCTTCTCGGTTTTATCGATCCACTTTGTCGTATTGCAGTTTACATATGGTTCTGCCCCAATCGTCCATCCTACATCTTTTGGAGGTCGGAAGCGGGTGTGGCATAAAGAGGTCTGCTGCAAATCGTGGAATTGGCGAAACAACGTGCGAACTATCACATCGCTAAAACCCTATTTCACTAAAAATGATCACCACAGCCTTTTTTATACCATACCCCACTCCCGACCACCATAAACCTAAATCCAGACCATCTCAGCCCAGCATGTATCGACCCCCCCGCCACCCTCTCCAAACAATTTTTGCGCGCGAGCTCGCTTTTCACTAGTCATCAAGTGTTCAAGAATCCCTTGCATACAACGGGGCCGCATGTTACACGCGCGCATGCCGAAATATTTCAAACACGGTTGGATCCGGAAGGGATCCACATCGAATGCCCAAACACAAATAAAGCATAACAGACAACAAACAAGAAACTTTGTTTCGCAACAGAGATGTTCAAAAACAAACTTGCGCGTTTGTTTCGAATCTTTAATGAAACCATATGTTCAAACAACTTCAAATAATACTACCAAACGGGCTTCGCGCGCGCATGTCGAAATTGTTTGGACGCCTTTGCGCACGTGCCGTCGCGATAATCCATTGCGAAAAAAAAAAAAAAAAAAAAAACGAAATGCACACGCGCGCGTCGTCGCGCGCGCATGCCGGAAACTTTCGAAACAACACAGAACATGGTTCTGGAAATAATTCAAAACCGAATGTACACCATACATTAAGAAAACACAAGGATTTGCAACATCGGTTTTCCAAACAAAAGGATCTTGCGCGCGCTCTTGCGATTTCTCAAGGGAACCATCGGTTTTTCAACATCCTCCCGGGATTCTGCCAAACGGGCCTCTGCCGCCGCATGCCGACATCATTCGCGCGCCCTTGCGCGCGCTGGGGGTGTACGATCAGTGTCAGAGAAAACCATGCGGGCCAGTATCGCGCGTCGGCCGCGCGCGCGCACGTCGAACTTTTTTTTTCGAAATCTTCATCACCGACGCGAGGACGCCGACATCGTCGTCGGCGTGACCATCATCGGCGTATGTTCTGGCCGCGCTTTCGTCGGTGCGAACATGGTCACAAGCATCGCCACTATCATCGCCGCGCCGGCCCAAGCCGCCGACTCGCAATGAATTGCCCGCTGGGGTTCGCCCAGCGGTCAACGCCACCGCGATTGCGTCGGTGGCGCCAAACTAGCTGGCCGCTTCGCGCGCGTGCTAGGGTTGGCGCGGCCGCAGAGGTGCACCAGCCAACGCCAAGCATGCATCGAAATCGCCACCGCATGGGCTTTGCAAGCCAATTTGCGAATGGGGGGATGGGATGTTTGCAAAAGCGTGGGATGTGTCAAACCGTGGGTAAACATCAATTGCGCAACATAGATTAGACTACACACATTGCACATGACATATTACGCAACCACATCCATTGCACCGTACAGGCTGCGCAACACAGATTGCGCAACATATGCCGCACAACCACATACATTGCATATCATAGATTGCAACACGAAGGTTCCACCGCATAAATTGTTTTCTGGGACAGCAAGAAGAATTTGGATCACCCCCCTCTCCCCATGGCTATCGCGATCCCATGGGATACTGTAATTCACACATCATTTCAAACAGCAAAATATCGAACATCCACCCATCACCCTCGTCACATAATACTATGCGCACGCGCGCGCTTATCTCACACACACACACATGAGATCCAAGAAACGGATGCAACGAATGGGACGAAGTGCGCACGAGCGTGTCGCCGCGTCGCGCCCGCATGCCCGAACCCTTCAAACATGCAGCAGGCGTCGTGGGGAGCTCAAGACCAGGCGTCCCGAGAACATGTAACAAGATATGTTTTATGTGCGCGCTTTCCTGTTGTTTATGTGCGCGCTTTCCTGTTGTTTTGGAAAATGTTCCATATGTTTGAACCTGTTCATAGAATGCGACAAACGGGCCTCTCGCGCGCGCGTGCCAGAATCACTCGAACGCCCTTGCGCGCGTGCTCGGGGGCATTGGAACCCATTTTCGTCCGTCGTCCGCACGCGCATCTCGAAATCCTTCACACCATCATCTTCATCGGTGCGATCAGCACCAGAGCCGTCGTTGGCCATGCCGTAGTTTTCGTCGTCGTCACCAGCATCGTTGCGATCATCATCGTGTCTGCCGTTGTCGACGTCGCCGCGGTAAAGCGCCCGCCCGAATCACCGACTCGCGCTGAACTGCCCGCGCGTCAGCGCAGTCTGCGAGACGCGCTGGGAAGTGCTCAGTGGTCAGCGCCACCGCGGCCGCGCCGTTCCCGCCTGAGTAGCTGGCCGCTTTGCGCGAGCGTGCGCGTTAAGCCGGCCGCGGCGATGCGCAACCCAACGCCAAGCAATCATCGCAATCGCCGCCGCGTGGGTTCTGCAAACCAAATGGCGCGTGGGTGTATGGAATGATTGCGCGAGCAGGTGGAACTGACAACTTCGAGTTCGGCAAAGTGAGTTGCACCGCGAAGACTGCAACACATAGGCTGCACGACATGGTTTCTTACATCTGTCAAGTAAAAAGGGCATGTAGCCCAGCTTGCGAGCAGGGCTGCTTTCTTCTATTGAAGAAGCTGGGCCGGTTGGCCAGCGTCGCCGCCGGTCGCCTTGGCCTGGTTGTGCTACGTTCACCACATATACTGCACCACGTACATTGTGCAACATAGAGGTCTCTGGCCTTCTCTGCTCGTCCTCTTCCTCCTCCTCCTCCTCCTCCTCCTCCTCCTCCTCATCATCCTTTTCCTCCTCGTCGTCCTCGTCATCCTTTTCCTCCCCCTCCTCCTCCCACTCCTTCCTCTCACCTCCTCCCTCCTCCCTCCTCCCTCCTCCCGCCTTCCCCTCCCCATCCTCCTCCCTCTCCCCCTCTGGTTAATGGGGTGTGACAGCTCCCTCGCCTTTATTCCACTGCGTGCTCCCCCACATGCCTGATCAGGGCAACTCGCTTGGGTATCGTTTCTGTGTGGGCTGGCCGGGTTACGCAAAGCGTCTAGGCTGTACTTATGTCAGCGAAAGGCTGTGCTTATTCAGAGCCTGGACTGTACAGAGAAGGGGGTTGCACAGTCCGAGTGGGGGGAAGGACGACATGATGTCATGATACGATTGGCTCACGATGGGTTCCAAGTGTTCTGGAAAATCTAGCGCCCCCAGTCCCCGCAGCTCGTTGGTACACTCAGACTTCTACACAAAATAGCGAAAATCTTGGGAATGTTAAAGTGCACGGTAGATGGAACATGATGGAACGCAAAACCAAACCAACGCGCAAGCTTGGTCTGTTTCCATGCCGCGGTGTACAGGACGAGCGCTGGAAGCCTGACACGCCCATTGACCTCCCTCTTCAATGCTGACATAGCCAACGGTCTCGCACTGCCACCATGCTGAGCATTGCAACGATTACGCACCGCAGAGCCCGCCGATGAAATTCACCTCAACCCGTATCCTCACTTGCTGCGACTCACCGTCCTCCGCCGGGCTCCTCGACACCAGCATTAAAAGCGGTGGGGTCTGTGGGGTGGGCTGCTGACGCGCGGGCAACTGGGCCACGCATGCGATGCGTGGTGATGGTGAGGATGACGATCCATTGTCAGACATTGGGGCGACGAGGTATAAACATATGCACCGCTCATGGCCAAGGCAATCCTGGGCCCAGGACCAGATTATATGCACCGGTAGCTTGGCCAGGGCGCCATATACATCGAACCTGGGCCCAGCATGGACCTGGCTGGGGGGGCGGTGGATCTCTAACTATAGATCTCGTCGACCAAGGGATCATTATCATGACCTCTTGCCTGGCTGATGAGGTGGACTCGGGGAACAAGCAATGGCATAAACATATATTCCACCAGAGAAGTAACCCAATCAGTGGATGGTTCGAACATTTTGCAAGCACCATGCCTGGCCGCAGTTCCGCAAGAAGGCCCTGAGATAGTAACTCATTGAGTGCAGTGGCGTGTTGGAAGGGTTGTGGCATCCTCGCCATGTCGGTCATCCGTCGGCTCAAAAAGGCCCAGGTCTCCGATATTGCCCCAAGACAGCGCACGAGGGCCCAAAATGACCCAGGCGGGCTTCCGGAGGTAACCCTCGACGGCCTGAGAGGGCCCCCCTTCGACGACCCACGAGGGCCACAACACGTCCCCACGACGGCACAGAAAAAACATCAGCATCAGCGAAAGAGAAAAGAAAAAGAGAGAGAGGGGGCGCCCACCGACAGCCGCCCACCGAGAGCCGCCCCCCGAAATCGGCCGGCTGCCTTCGCCAATCGGGGATGGACAGACCCCCCTCTAGTAAAACGTGGGTTAGTGAAAACGACCTGAGGCCCAAACCTGGCGGGCGCAAGCCTGGAAAGGGAAATAACGGCCACGGCGCCATCTCGAGAACCGAAAACGGACAATTCACTAATCGACGTGTCACTGTTGGGGGTCCTGCCCACCCCCGAGCCAATCCCTTGAAAGGCGCCCACCGAAGGCCGCCCACCGAGAGCCTCCCACCGAAATCGGCCGGCCACCTTCGCCAATCTCTTCTTTGTCAGCTAGAACCCCTTCAGTGCAAGCACTGACTCGACAGACAAGTACTCACTGCGTGGAGCTCCCCATATGTGCATCCTTTTTTAGAAGTAAATATTGTATCTGGGTCTGTAGGAACAGACGTAAAACACGAAGGATTCGTGCCCCAGGGGAGGCCCAATAGATAGGAACATAAGTAAAACATGTAGGATTGTGTACACAGGAGAAGGACACTCTATAGAAACATACGTATAACATCAACAAGGAATCGTGCTCCAGGTGAGGCCCAACAGACGTAAAACACATGGGATTGGAGCCACTCCTGTTGCCTTCTGAGGCCTCCTGCTCCTGGGGCCTCTCGGGGCCTCCTGTTGCCTTCCGAGGCCTCCTGGCGCTTCCTGTGACCTCCTGGGGCCTCCTGCGGCTTCCTGAGGCCTTCTGGAGCTTCCTGGGGCCTCCTGGAGCCTCTTGGGACATCCTGTGGCCTCTTGAATCTTTCTGTGGCCTCCTGATGCCTCCTGGGACCTCATGTGGTCTCCTGGGGCCTCCCGGAGCCTGTTGGAGCCTCCTGTGGCATCCTGAGAAGAATCTGCGCCCACGAGCCTGGCCACCAAAACAGGCAAACCGATCGAGACATCCTCAAAATCTGGCCCACCTGAGGGGTGAGCATGAGCGCCTCGCTCGAAACATCCTCCAAATCTGCTCCGACAGCGAAAGATGTTGGGACAGAAAACAAGCAAACCGCTTGAGACATCCCCACAAAACGGCCGCGAACGGGACCGTGAAAACACCCCTGGCGGCCCCCTTAGGGACGTGAAAATGAGCGCCTCGCTCGAGACATCCTCCAAATCTGCTCCGAAAGCGAAAGATGCTGGGACAGAAAACACGCAAACCGCTCGAAACATCCCCACAAAACGGCCACGAACGTGACCGTGAAAACACCCCTGGCGGCCCCCTTAGGGACGTGAAAATGAGCGCCTCGCTCGAGACATCCTCCAAATCTGCTCCGCAAGCGAAGGATGCTGGGACAGAAAACAAGCAAACCGCTCGAAACATCCCCACAAAACGGCCACGAACGTGACCGTGAAAACACCCCTGGCGGCCCCCCTTAGGGATGCTGAAACCAGCGCCCCGCCTGAGACATCCTCACAATCTGCCGTGTGTTGAGTAAGTAAGAGAATGAGAAGGTCTGAGTATGAGTACGTCTGGGTATGAGTGAGTCTCAGCATGAGTAAGTCTGAGTAGGAGTAGGTCTGAGTATGAGCAGGTCTGAGCAAGAGTAATTTTGTGTGTGTGAGTAAATCTGGGTATGAGTAAGTCTGAGTGTGAGTCAGTCTGTGTATGACGAAGTCTGGGTAGGAGGAGTAGAGGGGAGGAAAAGGAGAAGAGGAAGGAGGAGGAGCAGGAGGCGTCCAAGTAATAACAAGAACCCCATCTTAGGATATGGGGAGAAAAAGATCTCGGAGATCCGCGCGGACTGCTCGGATCGGCGCCAGGCCCCCTCTCTGGCGCGCGGAGCACGCCGCGGGCGGCGCCAGGGGGCCCCAGCGCCGATCCGAGGAACCCGCGGGGGCCTCCGAGCATTCCTGCATGTGTCGTGGCCTGTCCCCTGCGAAGGCGACCGCCCCCCCCCCGTTACCGACGCTCGACGACCCCCGGAAGACGACCGGCGAAGACCCGCTCCCCTCGCCCGCCCCCCTCCCCCCTTCTCTCGCTGCCCACGGCCCCCCCCCCTCCTCCCCTCGCCCTCCCCGCTGGCTGCCGGGCGCCCCGACCGCCCTGTCGTGCTTGTCCAGCTTGGACAGGATGGCGCAGATGTTGAGGTGCGTCCCTGGCGCCCCCTCAAAAATAACAAAAATCGTCCCCAGACTATTTTTTACTACTTTTGAATATTCCTCCTGTGGAGGGACAGGCCCAGCTTAAGCCTAGGAGTAGTCCGTGAGAGCTACAGTCCACGTAGCCAAAAGCACTCGCCACAAAACTGCAGGGAGGTGCACCCCTCGACGGGCCTCCATCCGCCGCACCCTGGAAGATCAGCCTCGATGACAGCCACCAGCGGCACGTGGTGACTGGGGTATCATATTTGCCAGGAGGAGGAGGAGGAGGAGGAGGAGGAGGAGGAGGAGGAGGAGGAGAGGGAGGAGGAGGAGGAGGAGGAGGAGGAGGGAGGAGGGAGGAGGAGGAGGGGAGGAGTGAGGAGGAGGAGGGAGGAAGGAGAGTGAGGAGGTGGAAAGAGGGAGGCAGGGGGGCAGGATACAGCACAGTTGGCGCAGCAGCGCTTCAGAAGAACACAATGAACTGGCACATTGTGAAGGGGGCGGGAGAGGACTGCGGAGGAGGGAGGGGGGAGGGGGGGAGGAGAAGATGAGAGGATTGAGGAGGAGGGGAGGAGGAGGAGGAGGAGGAGGAGAAGGAGAAGGTGGAGGAGGAAGATGAGAAAGTGCAGAAAGGAGGGGGTGAAAAGAATGAGGGGATACGGGACGAGGGGGCAAGAGGGAGGCGGAAGGCATGGAGCGGAAGGAGAGGCCAATGAGCGAGGTGGAGGAGCAAAGTAGCAAGGTGGAGGAGGAGAAAGAGGGCGTGGAGGAGGAGGGAGGGAGAGGGGACGATGAGGAAGACGAGGCGGATGATGATTGGTACTCCTCCTCCTCCTCCTCCTCCTCCTCCTCTCCTCCTCCTCCTCCTCCTCCTCCTCCTCCTCCTCCTCCTCCTCCTCCCGTCATCATCAAACTCGTCATGCCATTCGTCAGGCTCCCATATCTGATGCTCCACCTGTTCCTGCTCCTGCTCCTGCTCCTGCTCCTGCCCCCCAACCCCCTCCTCCTCACCCTTCCCCTCCTCCCCCTCCGAGCCTCCTCCCCCTCCTCCTCTAGTCCTGCTATCCCCTGGGTGGGTGAGCAACTCCTCCCCATCACTACTTGACCACCCGCTGGAGCTGTCCTGGGGCGAACTCCCGCCAGAATGCCAAGAGCGGCTGCGACCGTGGCGACGAGACCTCCGCCGGAGCCCCCCCGCCGACCCTCTGGGACTCCTACGGTGAGGAACGTTTGCTTGGCGTGTCGCGCTGCGGCCAAGAGTTGCGTTTCATCGTTTACCCCCCGCATGCCCTGCGAGCGGAGATGGCATGTCGCTCCGCTCCGAGGGCCGGGAGGCTGGGAACCGCTCGAGCCGTTGACGCCCGAGGGCCAAGTCGTGGTCAGCGTGTCGCGTCGAGGCGGGCTGGGCCAGAGCTGGCGGCGCGACGCGCTCACATTCGTACTTACACTCATACGCAGCACGCCGCAGTTGCGGCTAAGAGCGAGGGGGGCGGCGGGGACGCTGGCACGTGGGTCGCGGGTGGGTCGCGGGTCGGCGCGGGTGGGTGATGGGTCGTGGGTGGGCCGCGGGTGGGTCGCGGGGTGGGTCGCGGGGTGGGTCGCGGGTGGATCAGGGGTTGGGTCGCGGGTATGTCTTGGGTGGGTCGCGGGTGGGTGAGGGTAGGCGCGGGCGGATCGTGGGGTGGGTCGCGGGTGGGTCGCGGGTGGGTCACGGGTGGGTCGCGGGGTGGGTCGCGGGTGGGTCGCAGGTGATTCGGGTAAATCGCGGGCGGGTCGCAGGTATGTTGGGTGGGTCGCGGCTGGGTCACGCGTGGGTCGCGGGTGGGTCGCGGGCCGGTTCGCGGGTGGGACGACGACAACAAGAACAACACCACCACCATCACAACCAACATCAACACCACAAACAACAATAACACCAACAACAACCACAACAAGAATTTTGAGACTGTTCGCTCTTATCTGCTCGGCACCCGCCCTCTTCGTCTTCGATTGTATCCCCCTGGGGGTATATCTTCCGTACCTGCCGCGTGTATTTGGTGCAGCCCCTAAGGCAGGGGAAGAGAGGTTGGATTGAAAAAGGAAGGAAGAAGGATGGAGCACGGGATTAGCAGGAAGGGGGCTAGGAGGCTAGGAACAGAGAACACGTGGCAGAACCAGACCAGCCCATCGGGCGGGTAGACCCTAGCGGACGGGTCGGGAAGGCCTGCCTAAGCGACCAAGTCGAGAAGGCGTGCTGCTGAAGCGTGAGTACTGCATGAATCGCGAAGAGCGCTCGAGCGATAGCGCGATTTCTAAATACATCATGAGAACAGCCAAAGCGAGAGCCTGATTCCTGAGTGTCGAGGGCGCGGCGTGTGACTGAATTGCTAGGATGCCCCACGCGAGTGCGATTTCTGCACCACTTGTGAGGAAGTCCCCCGCGAGAGCGCGATTTTGGAATACCCTGCGAAAACGTATCAGGCGAGAGCGCCAGGTTTGCTGTAGGTTGGGGACCAACAACCCAATGTGGTGACACCACCTCCCCTTCATCAAAACAGGGTGGAAACACTGGACGCCTGGGCCCGCCTTCCCGACCCGGCCGTTTCACCTTTGCCCCGTCCTTCCATCCGTCCTCTCTGCCCCTGCCTTAGGGACTGCATGATAGACACGTTGCAGGTAAGAACGAAATCTAACCCCACGGGGTACGATCGAACACGAAGAGGGCGGGCATCGAGGATTCGGGATGTACGTGTTGAGAGGCACGCGCGCAGATAAGAGCTGAGAGTCATAACATGAGGTTGTTGTGGCTGTCGTCGCTGTCGTGGTCGTGGTCGTGGTCGTGGTCGTGGTCGTGGTCGTGGTCGTCGTCATCGTCATCGTCGAGGTAGTCGAGGTCGTCGTGGTCGTCGATATTGATGTTTCTGTTGTTGTTTGTTGTTGTTGTTGCTGTTGCTGGTGTGTTGTGTGTTATTGTTATTGGATTAGCATTTCTTTAAAATACTTACTGTGGATCCCGCCCTTCGGTAACCGAGTGCGCTCCCCCCGGGGGGCCACACCCTGTTCTTAATAAGGAAAAGGGAAAATCACCAAACTGTGCCCCTGGCCCCCGGTTTACAATAAGAGCGGCTCCCGCATGATACTTACTCGGGGAACTTCTTAGCAAAATACACAGAAATCGCGCTCTCGCGTGGGACACTCACGAATCACGCTCACCCTATTAATTTCTGACGGTTTATGTAGGAATCGCGACAACATTCGAGACCCCTTGCGATTATGCAGAACGCACGCTCCAACAACACTCTTGCTCGACCTGGCCGCCTTGGCCCGCGTTCGGACCCGTCCTTTATATACAGTCTACCCGCCCGATCTGCTCCGGCCCGATCAGCCTGTCTGGTTCTGCCACGTGTTTTCTGCTCCTAGCCCCCCTCCTGCTACACTCTCTCGTGCTCCATCCTCCTCCGTCCCCCTTGTCCCTTCCTTCCATCCGTGCTCTCTTCCGCTGCCTTAGGGGCTGCACGACAAACACGTTGCAGGTAAGAGCGATATATACACCCAATGGGGTGCGATCGAAGACGAAGAGCGCGGGCATCGAGGGTTCGGAATGTACGTTTTGAGTGGCACGCGAGCAGATAACAGCGACCAGTCGTCGTCATCGTCGTTGTCGTCATCGTCGTGGTCGTTGTCGTCGTCGTCGTCGTCATCGCTGTTGCTGATGTTGTTGGTGTTGTTGCAGTTCTCAGTTCAGAATTAAAAACGAGTGTTGATCCCTTCCCCCGTAAACATTATATGTGTTCAATTGAAGTGCGCTGAAGCGTGCGTCCTGCATGAATCGCAAGGAGAGCTCGAGCGATAGCGCGATTCCCAAATAAAACATGAAAAATCCACAGCAAGAGCGTGATTCCTCTGTGTGTGTCGAAGGCGCGGCGCCTGACTAAATGGCGAAGTCCCACGCGAAAGCTCGATACCTGAATCCACTCTGAGGAAGTCTCGCGAGAGAACGCGATCTGGGAATAACTTGCGCGGAAAAATCAGGCGGGAGACGTTCTTGTTGTAAACCGGGGGACAAGGGCACAGTTTGGTGACCCAGGAAGCACAGCACTTTCACTGACAAAGCAATAATTACATGGGTGATCAACAATAAATACTCCTTCACTCCTTCAAAATGAGAACTCACTACCACAAACGACAACAATCCGAACCGCAAAACCTCGAATCAGCCACGCGCCCAGGGACAGCGAATTACCGTTCGGCCCCCCTCACTCTCATACTTACACTCATGTATGCGTATATGAATACACGTGTATATAGAAAGATATACACATACTTCCGCCACCGTGCCTCTGGCACGAAGTGGAGTGCCCCAAGGCTCATGCAGATCTGAGACGTAGAGGGTTATTAAGTTGCTCAAGGGCCCGCACCCACACTTTCCCGAGCGCTTTCGGAAGGTGATGGGCGCTGCCAGGGTGTCTCGCGCCTCCGGGACAGTCCCCTCACGCAAAAAGGGCCCCACGACAAAACGGGCCAAGAAAGCGTCAGGAGGCCGCCCAGGCGGTCCGCGAGGGCCCAGAATCGCCGAACGATCGGTCCAAGACGCCCACGATGGCCCCCTGACGGCCCAAGAGACCCCGAAGACGCCCCCCCCCAAGAGGCCCCCAGGAGCACTCCGCGGAGGCAATGATCACTGATGTGCCTAAGGTTTTTGGATGCATTGCACCAGCCCTCTGGGCGTAGGTGGTCCAGGGAGGCTCCCTTCCCCTTCGGGGAAGGGTTTACCCCTCCCCCTGCCCCGTCCCCAAGACCTGGACGGGTTGGGCCGCGAGGGGTTCGAGCGTCCAAGATGGCCCACGACGGCTCCACGAGGATCTCAGAGAACCCAAGATGACCTCCAGGATAGCTCAAGATGCTCCGAGAGGCCCCAAGAACGCTCCAAGACGGCTCCAAGAGGCCTCCGAGACTTCCATGGAGGTCATCACGAAGTCAACACCCTTCAAAGGCCCAAACAAAATCAATGATGTCTGCATCGTCGTCCGTTCCCTCTCGATAGCCCTCCGAGGCCTCAATATGGCTCCAAGATGGCCCGAGAGGGCCCCTAGAGAGGCCCAAGAGAGCCCCAAGAAGCCGCCCCAAGAGGGGTCCAAGAGGCGATTTCAGGCACTCTCGAGGAGCAAGACGAATTGCGGCCCTCCCCTTCAGAAGACCCGCAAGAGGCTCCCGAAACGCCCAAACACACAAATGTCCCAACAGCCCTGGCTCCTTTGCTTTGGCTCCCAGTCCTAGACCCTTTCTTCGGAGGGGCCCTGGGACACACAAATAGATACCTCCAAATGACTGGATTCCCCATATGTTCCCGTATGTTATGGGTTTTTGTTTTCCCCCCCACTTATCATATTTTCCGATATTTTCATGGGAATCGACGATTGATTGTATGTGTTTTTTCCTCCTGTTTCTTGGCCCGTCCCCGTTCAATGTGAAACCCTGCAGCCCTGGCCCCCTTCTCTTGAATCCCGCCATCAACCCATGCCAGCTTGTTGTGTGGACGATTCGGGGATATCCATGTCTGTGCTCTTCCAGGCATCCGAAGCCGACGAGGTCCCCAAGATCGCCCAGGCATGGGCCAAAAGATGATCGAAACGGTCCAGGGCAGCCAACGCAACCCAACTGGGCACCAAGATGGCCCGAAGAAAGCCCAAAGAGGACCCCAAGACGCCCACAAAAGCACTCCACGTTGGGTCTCAGTCGTTAACTGAACCCGCAGATGGCAGCGAGATGGCCCCAAGAAGCCACCAGAGGTTCTCGAAAGGCCCCCAGGACGCCTCCAGAGACACCGCGTAAGCCTTCGAGACGTCCTCAGGCGACCCACCCAAACGAACCCCCGCAACAAATGGGAAACGGGAAAGGATTCACAGGGAAGGGCAACATCGAAGAGTACGAAAACAGCAACAAACTCAAAAGCCCGGAACAACGCTATGATAACTATGTCTGTCTGTCTGCCTGTCTCTTTCTCTCTCTCTCTCTGTCTCGCTCTCTGTCTCTTTCTCTCTCTCTCTCTCTCTCTCCCTCCCTCCCTCCTTCCTCAATCCGTCCGTGTGCACAACTTGAAGGGGCAAGGTGCATGGCGCGAAACACGAATTCAGTGTTGTATGTGTGCACTCGCACATCGCATATATGTATACACACACGTGTGTGTACACACATCGGAGGTTGGGGGGTGAGGTCGCAGTAAAACGGAGACCCCCCACCGGGAAATCGGTTTCGGATTCGTGTTCGTGTCGTGCGAGCGGGCGAGGCGAAGCTGCGCGTGATCCTCCTGTAGCTAGGCCGAAGTAGGAGCGAAAATCCGTTTCCCGTCCGCTGGTGGCCGGGAGGTGTCACAGTTGGGCCGGGCGGTGTCCCGGGTGTCCCGGGTGTCCCGGGACAGACAGAGAGAGCGAGAGAGAGAGAGAGAGACAGAGATTACCTAGTATGCGATGGTTGTCTCGTGGTTGTCTTGTGATTGTCCTGATGGTGGTCTGGTGGTTGTGCCGATGGTTGTCCTATGTCTGTCCGACAACAAATCTTTGTTCGGCGCCTGCGGCGGGCTTTCTCATTTTGCTTTTGAGGTCGATAGTGAGATCGACAGTGAGATTCACCGATGGGTCGGTCGACGGATAGGTAGATAGTGGGATCTCATCGTCATCGCGATTATCATTGTGGTGGAGGGAGACTCTGATGGAGAGGGAGAGAGAGAGAGAGAGAGATGGCGAGAGAGAGAGAGAGACACAGAGAGAGAGAGAGAGAGAAAGCGAGAGAGAGACAGAGAGAAAGAGAGAGATGAGATCAACGTGACAGGCTGGAGGTCAGTCAGGGTGGGCATTTGATCTCAATCCCCCCCAACCTCATTATCGTCCGCAGGGCAGTCGTATAGGTATATGGATATACATATTCACATCGCAAAACGGCGAACGTCACCAGATCCTCGATCCTGCACCGACCACCTCCTCCTCCTTCTCCTCCTCCCGAACATCCATAGCTAATCATCCGCCGCAGCCTCGTCTCACAACGCGCGCGGGCGCGCGCGAGCGAGGAAAAATGGAGTACAAGGAGGAAGAGGAGGAGGAGGAGGAGGAGGAGGAGGAGGAGGAGGAGGAGGAGGAGGAGGAGGAGGAGGAGGAGGGGGGGAACGGGGAACGGGGAAGGACGAGGAATAGGGAGGAGTGGCAGACGGAGGGAGGATAGAGATCGAGAAGGGCAGAGGGGAACGATGAGGAGGAGGAGGGTGAGGACGAGGGAGGGATGGAGGAGGACATCGACGACGACGAGGGAGGAGAAGGGTGACGAGGGATGGAGGACGAGAGGGACGACGGCAACGACGACGCCGAAGACTGCTGCTGGCCGGGCTGCTGCTGGTGCCCTGCCCAGGTCAGCGGCTGGACCCCGCCCTCCTGCGAGGGTGACCTCGTCCGTGCCCAGGTCGGTCTCCATCTTGAGAGCCCTGCCGACAGGGGGGCGGCGCAAGTGGAGGGGAAGATATTCCTCCCCCTCCTCTTCGTCCTCCTCCTCTTTGGGTGACCCGAAAGGCGGTCCAGCCGACAGGGGGTGGTGCAATAGATTTTGGGCAAGTGTATTGCAATTGCAGTGCGCTGGAGCATCGGATTGCATTGTATTGCAAGTAATGTGTCGCACGCGGCAATACAGCAATGCATGTGCGCCCCGAACTGTATTGCACGCCCCAAATGCATTGCAACCCCACAGATCTATTGCACCAAATCTATTGCGACACCCCCTTGTCGCTGGACCCCCTCTTGGGTCAACCCGATCCTCGCCCATCCGAGACAAGGTGGTGCTCAGGGCTCACGCCCTGCGGGCGGCGCCCACTAAGGGATCGTGCGCCCCTTGGGTTGCTGCATGGGCCCGTGCCCCGACGACGACGACGACGACGACGACGGCGACAACGACGACGACGACGACGACGAGGGGCCCGGCCCCGTCCGCGAGCCGCCTCCGCAGGTAGCTCAGGGCGCCGTGGAGCTTGCCGACCTCCGGGCGCCGGACGCGCGCCGAGAAAAGCGCCGCCATCGCCGCCGCCGCGGTCGCCGTTGGACTGGTCGTGGTGGTCGTGGCCGTGGCCGTGGTCGTGGTGGTGGTCATGGTCGTCGCGGTCGTGGTGGTGGTCATAGTCGTGGTCGTAGGCGTCCGTCGTTCGTCGTTCGTCGACCGTCGTCCGCCCTCCGTCGACCGTCATCGGTCGTGTCGTCGTCGTCGCCCCCACCTGCTCCTTCTCCTCCTGCTCCTCCTCCTCCGCCTCCTCCTCCCTCTCCTCCTCACTCCTCCTCATTCTTCTCCTCACTCCTACTCCTCCCTCATTATCCTCCTCGCCCTCCTTCTCCTCCTCCCAACGAAGACTGGGGCACCGAGGCGTGCGTGGGAGGGCGGGGTGCGGGTGCGGCGCCTTCTTGTAGTACAAACCGAGGTTGTTGCAGGTCACTGCCAGCAGGCTCGTCGCCCCGTCCATCTACCCCGCCGCGTTCTCGTATTCGTCGTCGCTCCCGCCGCAGCAGCCATCGCTGTCGTCGAAAGAGAGGGGAAGTTGGAGAGGTGATGAGTTGGGATGAGATCAATCACGAAGCGACAACGAGACCCGAGCCGCCTTCTCAGCCTTGCTGTGGACTTTGGGCCAAAGAACTCTGGAAATTCGATCGAGACATTCTTGCCTAGCCGGAGCGGAGGAAGGGGATGGGGAGTGGGGATGGGAGGAAATACGAGAAGAGCAGGACCTCCTCCTCCCCAACCCCTTTTCCTTGTTGGCCACTCTTCCCTGTCGCACCCCCAGGTGTGAGTTTGGATGGCGGTCCCATCTGAAAATGAAACTCTTGTCTCAGCGCCGCGCACACTCGTCTTAACGCAATGCAGCACTTACAAAGATGGAGGGCGGTTCCTAACTCAGAATGAGCACATCGCCTCAGAGCAGACGCTCGCTACAAGCAAAGTAAACGGTTCATTTACAAAATGGGGGTTACGCTCAAGCCCTCCTTGAATTCGACGGCCTGGCAGTTCAACGCATGCAGCTGTAGCTGCTGCGAGGAGGGGGGTCCTTGCTTGGGCTATCAGTCGAGGCTGCCTTAAAGTTCATGACCAGAAGTGTAAGCCGTGGAGCGGTCCCCTGCAACACGAGAGGACCGCTGGACACCTCGTTGAACGCATTGCTCGAACCACTTCGTATTCCCGATCACTCGATGAAGGAATGCAAGGCCGATCCCTTTCAAAACGAGGCGTTCCCCTGAATGGCAGGTCCGTCGCGTGCTGGTCTTTCAAGGGGGCACCTCTTGTGTTAAAAACAGAGGCTTGTAGGGAGGATGTGAAGAAGGGAATGCGGGGAGGGTGTATTGCAGCATCGCTGATGCATCTTGGGTAAGCTGGTCATCTGGTCCTCCTCCTCCGTCTCCCCATACCTGCGCCCTGATCCTGCGTCCACCCCCCCTTCCTGTCTCCCTCCGAGCCCTTCGACTCCCTTGCCCCGAACTCGCTCGCCCACCTTCTCATCGCAATTGCCTCGTACTCCTTCCCGCTTATTCCGTCGTCCCTCCTGCGCATCCTCCGTCATGTCCTGTCCCTTCTCCTACAGCTCCGCCTGCTCTAACTCCTCCTCGCCCTCTCTCGTCGCGACAACAGCTCGAATGCGGATGCAGCGCTGAGTAAATCATGCTTGCGCTGCCCACCATCGTCTCCCCGCGCCTCCCGGCGCAAGAAGAGCACGGTGAGAGTGCCGAGACACTCTGGACGAAGGAACGGCCCTGAAACGGGCACGGAACAAGTGGGCGCGATGCCCAACGGCAAAAGTTGGCAATGCGCACAAGAGGGTGGAGGGAAGGGGGAGGGCTTCTTAGAAAGAGGCTGCTTCTTAGAAGGCGCCGGCCATACATCTGTAGATAAGGCCCGCGCCTTCTAAGAAACAGGGGTGCTTCTAAGAAGCCCTCCCCCCTCCCCCCACCCCCCTCTGCGCGTGGCTGAACATGGCGTTCAAATCCGAACGCGGCCTCCGCCGGGCAGGCGTCTTTCCACCTCACGTGGGCCACGTCTGCGGCGACGCCGACCGCGCGCCCTGGTCGAAACGGGCATGAACTTGTGTCGGCATTGCCCACGTTCTTGCCGTACGCCCATCTCGACCGCACCAGCGTAGAGCTCGTGGTATTTATCATTCGCGATCACGCCGGTGACCAGTCACGCCTTCCCCCCCCTGGTCACGGACGATTCGCGCCGGCGCCATGTGGGAATGAATAATTCCTACGCGTTCCCAGACGGCGCCGGCGCGAATCGTCCCCCGCCCCCCCCTCTGCTCACGCCCGTTGACGCCGCTGTCGCCAGGGAATATAAAACGGTCTCCTAGCGCTTCGCACATTACGCCCCAGACTGTCTTGGCGCCACGCTTCTGAGGCAACTCATGGGAGCCTCCTATACCATCTGGATGGATCTTGCGAATCGACGCTAGCTGACGCGAGTCGACGCTAAATCGAGGCTAACCGACGATAGTCGACGCTAACGCGCCTCGAGGCGACAGTACCCCACGGAGCCGCCACTCGGAGGATGAGGGGAAGAACGAGATGGAAGGGGAGGAGGAGGAGGAAGCGGACGAGGAGGGGGACAAGGATAACGATAAGGCCGTTTGGGGTCTGTGTGTCAAGCTGAACTTGAAAAACACTTTGCTGACCCGTAGGAGGAAGAGGAGGAGAAGGAGGAGGAGGAGGAGGAGTAGGAGGAGGATGAGGAGGAGGACCAGCAGCAGCAGCAGCAGCAGGAGCAGCAGGAGCAGCAGCAGGAGCAGCAGGAGGAGGAGGATGACAAGGAGACCCACGGTCCCCACGCCCCCGACGCCCAAACCACACCGCCACTGAACGCTCAGCGCGTGCGCGGGTAGCGCGCCTCCACGCAGCCGGACACCACGAGCAGCCCGCTCGTTTCTCGCACTCGCCGCCCGCGAAGCGCCCCCGGCCGCCCCCTTCTCGGCCTCCGGGAGCCTCCCCCTGGGAGGCCCTGGAGGCCGAACCATCGATCCCCCTCGGCCCTCGATCGTCCCTCCCCCCAGTGAACCTCGATCCTCCACGACCATCGATCACCCTCGTCCCTCGATCGTCCCTCCCCCCAGTCCTCATCCAGCCACCACGATGATCGATCCTTCTCGGCCCTCGATCGTCCCTCGCCCCCCTCACCAGCACTTCAAAGGAGCGCGTCCTAAAGATCGACTCGGTCCCCGTCCTCCACCCCCTCCTCCTCCTCATCCTCCTCTTCCTCGTCCTCCTCATCCCCCTTCCCCTCCCCCCTTCTCCTCCTCCTCCGCCTCCTCCTCCTCCTTCATTCCTTCTCCTTATAGATAACTTCTCTCTGTCGCACCCCGAGGCCAGTTTTTTGGGCGGGCCGGGTGTTTCGCCTGAGGCTTCCTCACCATTTATGACCCTGAAGCTTAAAGAGTGAACGGTTTCACAGATGGAGGGCGGGTGGTTTTCAAAATGTGGCTCTCGCCTTAGCGCCGCGCACATTCGCATTAAACATTTGCAAGAGTTGCACGGATTGAGGGCGGGTGGTTTTCAGAATGTAGCTCTCGCCTTAGCGCCGCGCACATTCGTTGTAAACAGTTGCAAAAGTTGCACGGCGCGAGGGCGGGTGGTTTTCAGAATGTGACTCTCGCCTCGGCGCCGCGCACATTCGTTTCAAAAAGGTGCAAGATATTCACGGAATGAGGGCGGGTCGTTTTCAGAATATGGCTCTCGCCTTAGCGCCGCGCACATTCGTTTTTTGCAAAGGGTTTCACGGATTCCCACGATCAGCGTACCAGAAATAGTGTTTTGGACGGATTCAGGCTTATGCGGGCGCAACAAATCTGTCGATTCAATGTGTGTCGAAATCCCGAAGATGGCGTTCAGGCATGGTTCTTTATCGTCAAGACGCAGCAGTCAGGTTGATACGTGGCGGTGGAATCTCGAGAACAATGTTTTGGCACGCTTCAGGATCTTCAAACTGCTGCCTTCCAACAAGGCAGTTTCCCCAATGGAAATGAACCGTTGTAGGGGCCTATGAAGAGGGAGCTTGGAGGGAGGGTTGATTCCAACATCGTTGGTGACTCTTGGGTTTCAACTGGTCCTCCTCCTCCTCCTCCTCCTCCTCCTCCTCTCCTCCTCCTCCTCCTCCTCCTCCTCCTCCTCCTCCTCCTCCTCCTCCTCCTCCTCCTCCCCCTCCCCCCCTCCTCCTCCTCCTCCTCCTCCTCCTCCTCCTCCTCCTCCTCCTCCTCCTCATCCTCCTCCTCCTCTTCGTTTGGAAATTGGACGAGGGACGAGGAGGACGAGGATGAGGAATTACGGAGAAGGAGGAGGAGTAGGAGGAGGAGGAAGAGAGATGCGAGATGCGAGAGGAAGGAGGAGTAGGAGGCATGTTCCCGGATTTCTGCGAGAGCGTATGCGTAGCGTGGGATTTACCTGTGTTGGCGATCAACCGTCGGGCGGACGCTGGAGATTCTATCGCGCCTCCGGTCAAACGGCTCAGAGTAAAAAGATACGTGCTGGAGGACATGCCGGCCGAGCACGCCATGCCAGGATTCACGGACAAGCCCTTCGACTGGGACACGGCGAGAGGAAGATTTGTTATCGTATGCGATTGCAAGCCAGTCGTAGATATCTTAATGGGTCACGACATGCCGTTGCCGACGGTGGAGCAACACGTCCCAGTTGTCAGCCGGATCTCAAGTCGGCTCCTCCTCCTCCTCCTCCTCCTCCTGGTCCTCCCTCTGCATCCTGTACCTCCTCCTCCTCCTCCTCCTCCTCCTCCTCCTCCTCTCCTCCTCCTCCCCTCCTCGTCCTCGCCCTCCTTCTCCACCCTATTCTCATACTCCCCCCGAGCACCTCAGAGGAGCGCGACGTCAGGATCGACTCTGCCTCCTTGAACTGGTCAAACGCTGCCTGCACGTCGCCCTGGGCGCGGAAAACAAACAGGAAAACAGCACACGTGTCGGGCTAGAGTGGCTTGCAACTCCTCATCCACCTCCTCCTCTTCCTGTTTGTCCGAGTCCTCCTCCTCCGCATTCTCCTCATAATCCTCCTCATCGTCGTCCTCCTCCTCTGGAACAAGCATTTCGCAAATAATCCGACTCAAGAGATGTGTGCTGCTCGGCAACGGGATCAACCACTCCCTCATCCTCCTCCTTCTCCTCCTCTTCCTCCTACTACTACTACTGCTGCTGCTGCTACTACTACTACTACTACTACTGATGCTACTACTACTACTACTACTGCTACTACTACTACTACTACTACTACTACTACTACTACTACTACTACTACTACTACTACTACTACTATTACTACGACTACGACTACGACTACGACTACGACGACGACGACGACGACGACGACGACGACGACTACTACTACTACTACTACTACTACGACTACTACTACTACTACTACTACTACTACTACTACTACTACTACTACTACTACTACTACTACTACTACTACTACTACTACTACTACTACTACTACTACTACTACTACTACTACTACTACTACTACTACTACTACTACTACTACTACTACTACTACTACTACTACTACTACTACTACGACTACGACTACTACTACTACTACTACTACTACTACTACTACTACTACTACTACTACTACTACTACTACTACTACTACTACTACTACCACTACCACTACCACTAATACTACTACTACTACTACTACTACTACTACTACTACTACTACTACTACTACTACTACTACTACTACTACTACTAATAATAATAATAATAATAATAATAATACGACTACGACTACGACTACGACCTACGACTGCGACTACTACTACCACTACTACTACTACTACTACTACTACTACTACTACTACTACTACTACTACTACTACTACTACCCGTCCTCCTCTTCCTCCTCCTTATCCTCCTCCTCCTCCTCCTCCTCTTCCTCCTCCTCCTCCATTTCTTCCTCCCTCCTCACTCATCCCTCCTCCCTCCTCCCTCACCACCTCCCTCCATCCCACCCTCCCTCCCTCCCTCTCCTGCCCTCCCTCCCTCTCCTGCTCCTCCTCTTCCTGCACCTCCTCCTCCTCCTCCTCCTCCCCCTCCGGTTCCTCCTCCTCCTCCTCTTCCTCCTCCTCCTTCCTTCTCCTCCTCCTCCTCCTCCTCCCCTCCTCCTCCTCCTCCCAACCCTCCTCCTCATCGTCGTCGTCGGCCTCCTGCTCCTCCTCCTCCTCCTCCTCCTCCTCCTCCTCCTCCTCCTCTTGCCCCCCGCTGATCTCTCCTGCTTCCTGCTCCTTCTCCTGCGTCGCCCTCGTTCGCTCCCTTCCTCCCTCCCCCTTCCCCCAGCCTCCGCCCTGCCCTCGAGGCCCCCTGGCCCGCGGGGGACGAGCGGACACGACGCCCCCGCGAGCGCCCCGCGCGCGAGCGCGCCTTGCGGAGGGCCTCCATGCCCTCCTTGTTGCGGGAGAGCACCGTGGAGGGAAGCTCCTCTGGCGGGGCGAGGGGGGGGGGGGGAAGGGGGGCGGCGTGCTCGCGCGGACGATGCGACGCGGGTGCCGCTCTCGGCGGGAGAAGGAGGAGGGGCAGCTGGACCGATCCCGGCGGCCCGGGGCAAGGCACGGGCAGCTTGAAGGAGCAGCAAGTGCAGAAGCATACAGTCAAAAACCCTAATAAGGACGCGCGGTGAGGACGCAAGACCCTTGGAAGCCGAAGTTGGGATTTTTGGGGCGGCGGACGACGAACGCCTCAAGGGCGCAAGAGCAAGGGAGAGCCAGGACGCAAGGGTACCCTGAGCAAAGTCGCGCGTCCTTATGAGGGTTTTTGACTGTATGTGGATGTTTGTTTAAGCATTCGGGAGCTTACAAAGGCAATTCGACTTAGCGAATGGCCAGGACACCCACCATCGCGCCATCGCGTCTCGCAGGGCGCGAAGCCCCGCCTCCTTCGCGCCACCGCGCCGCCCCCTTGGGAAGCACCGACTCGAAGCCCAGACCGATGCGCGAGCCGCACCCGAGACCTACAACCCTGGTAAAGAACCACCTGACGGATATGTTCAGCGTACCACGCCCCGCGTTCCAGTCCAGAATTAGCCCTTGACGGGCTGCAGCCGCGCCAGGGGTTTCTGTGAAACATTGGGGGCCAGCGCTGCGAGAAGATGGGCCTGCGACCCCGAGAAGACTCCGATGCGACCCTGCAGTCTTCCCTGAATCCCATATCCACGTTCGTCAAATTTTCTTCGGGAATGTGATAGGCGGTGAGAAAAGGAAGGAGGGGCGGTCGTGGCGGCAGACAGAGAAGTAACATTGGACGAGGGCCCTTTTCCTGGATGGAAGGAGGAAGACATACCGAGGACTATTTGTTTGACATCAGCTAATCACACCATCACGATGGCAATTGATTGATTTTACCCCTTCGACCATCCAGCCTGGCGATTGTACGTGGTCGTCCATGGATGGACCGTGCGCGCGTGCGTGCCGCAGGGTGTTCCGACGCCGGCTTGGCAAGATGGCGACGTTGGCGGAAACTGACTGGGCCTTTTGACTCTCGGCGACCGGTTTTCCCAACCATCCTGTGGTCTCGGGTCCTCGTTTTGAAGAGACGGTCGTCGCGTTCCCTCGTTTCCTCCCTCCCTCCCTCCCTCCTTTCTCCCTCCTTTCCTTCCTCCCTCCCTCCCTCCCTCCCTCCTCCTTCCTTCCTCTCCTCCTTCCTCCCCTTCCTCCCATCCCTGCCTCTGGCCTCCGCATGTCTTCGTCGTCGTCGTCGTCGTCGTCATCATCACCATAAGGAGCTCCACCGAGTGCCCCAGTGGCGGTGTCCGCACGCGTCTCCCCCACCCAGCACAACGTTTCGTGGCCAACTGAGGAGCTCTACCGAGTGCCCCAGTGGCGGTGCCCACGTGCGTCCCTCCCACCCAGCACAGCGTTTCGCGGCCCATAGGGAGCCCCACCGAATGCCCCAGCGGCGGTGTCCGCATGCGTCCCCCCTACCAAGCACGTGCAGGGCCAAGCGGCAACTCTTCTCCGAGGAAGCCAGGAGGCGCTGCCTCTCCGCGGCGCCCCTTTTTTGAGCAGGGACCCACCGTCCTGGCATTCCTATAGGCCTACCACGAAATGTTCTTAGAACCCAGAAATATTCGAACACCAAGAGCGAGGTTCTTCGAACATTCGCCCGGTGTGTCTGAACAAGGCAGCCCCAGCAAGAACTGTTCTAAGAACCTTTCGTGGAAACCGCAAATGCTTGTTAGAACATTCTTTGGTGGGCCTCTAGGCACGCCGGGACGCTTCGCCATTGCTGGATTTTCACCTCCAGTCGGGGCAGCCGACGTCCTGGGCCAGAGCGTTGGGGCCCAGGCGCCACCACATATTCAGCGACAGCTTCTCGCCCTCCTCCACGGCCAAGCCCTCGTGCTGGGCTTGTCTTCCACCGCCACCACCACCATAAGTTGGAGGAGGCTAGGAGGTAGAGGAGGAGGAGGAGGACGAGGAGGAGGAGGAAGAGGACCCCTCCCCCTCCAGCTTATGGTGGTGGTGGAAGACAAGCCCACGACCTCGTGCTCCGTCCGCGGGTCCGCCTTCCACGGGTCGTGGTCGTACACGGACGGCCACAGGATCGCGGCGCCGCGCTCCGGCTGGACCTTCAGGCCCAGCGAGGGGAAGTGGGTCGCCCCTCCGCGTGCCACGTCGGTGAGGTACATAAAGAACGTGTAGACTCGATGTTTCCGGGTGTTCCGGGGATCGTTGGGCGAGCCTACAAGGTATGCGTCGTGGTGCGGCTTGAAGAACATGCCTGGCGTGTACCGCAGGAACTGCATCTTCTCCAAGTAATGAGGATGGACTTGCAGTACTTCGCTGACGCGGGACACGAGCATCCGGCCGACAGGGTGATCCTGGCAAGGACAGTTGCACCATGCAACGTCCGTTTTCCTGAACCCTGTGTAGACCTCCTTGCGCCGACCATACTCTTCAGTCTGGCCAGTATTCCACGGTCCCCGCGTTTTCGCGTCCGTGAGAAACGCGATTTCCTCCTCGGTCAGGAACTTGGGAAACTTCAGGATCCAAGGGTCCTCGCTCAGAATCTCCACGCTCAAGCCCCTGATGTTGAGCATGCGCTGAACAGTCCGATTAATGGCTCCCGGCTCCACGGACTCGGGCATGTCCAGCAGGTGCCCGCACCGCGTCGTCAGGTTCCTCAGGTGGCATGTGTTGCACGAGCGAGCACACACGTCAATCATGAACGACGGATTGAGAAGAAGAGTGGACAGCACAGGCATAAATTTTCAAGGTCCGCGCAGACTTCTCGGATTGGCGCTAGACCCCCTCCCTGGCGCGCGGATCGCACTCGGGGGCGGCGCGTGAGGTGCCGACAGGGGGGGCACAATGCCGATCCAAGAAATCCGCGCGGCCCTCTGAAACTGCATGCTTGCGCGCTTCTGCTCCTCTTCGAGGATTGTCCTCGCACCTGGGGACAACAAGGGGTGCGATACCGCCACCCCACGGGCGGCTCTCTGAGTGCGTGCTGACCGAGATCGCGAGGCGAATCCGGCCGCGGCGACGAGAGTCCCCCGGGAGGGCCCAAAACGCGGAAACCGAGGAAGGGTGGCTGTATCGGTAGAGTCAAAAACCCTAATCCGGACGCGCGGTGAGGACGCAAGACCCTTGGAAGCCGAAGTTGGGATTTTTGGGGCGGCGGACGACGAAAACCCCAAGGGTACCCTGACAAGCGGGCAAGCGAAAGAGGCCAAGAACGAGCCGCAAGAGCAAGGAAGAGCAAGGACGCAAAGGTACCCTGAGCAAAATCGCGCGTCCATATTCCGGTTTTTGACTGTACCTGTTCCTCCTCCGAGCACCCGTGCCCCCTGAAAGAGCGGGCGAACCGTGGGCAATCCTGGTTCTTGTCCGCGCAGTCTCTGCAGCCATCCGGGCCGCTGGGGCACGCGGGCCACACCTCATCGGGCGAAGAACGGTCTCTTGCCATCGCTCGGACGGCCATTCCCTGTGCATGCTTCGGCTTCGTACGTGTTTCTTCTTGCAAAGTGATCCAGGATGCTCCTCGATGGTCCTCACTGGGAAAAAAACGCACACGTGCGAGCGATGCCAAGGTACAGAGCACTGGGAGAAAAAAGCCGCACAGGTCCGAGCGATGGGGGGCGCCCGTCCGGCTGGAACGTACATGCCCCCTCTTGCTTGCCACCGGCAGGGTGTAAGCATCCCGGCCGCCCTGGGACAGGCACCCCCCCGTCGGCGGAGCCCGCTCTTCGCCCGCTGGGCACCCGCTCGGTGTTCCCGCTGCCCGAGGCGAGGCACCGCCGCCGCCCGCAGCTGTGCTCGCAGTCGGGGAAGGCGGGCAGCTCGACGCAGCCCCTGCCGTCGGCCGCGCACGTCTCTCTGGCGGCGCGAGGCGGGGCCTCGAGACCGCGGGCCGTCCTCTCGCGGACCCCGGATCAGATCCGACCCCAACACTCCACCTCCTCCTCCTTCTCCTCCTCCCCTTCTCCTTTCCCCTCCTTCTCCTCCTCATCTCCCTCCTCCTCCTCCTCCTCCTCCTCCTCCTGCTCCTCCTCATCATCATCATCATCATCATCATCATCATCATCATCATCATCATCATCATCATCATCACCATCCTCATCCTCATCCGCATCCTCATCCTCATTCTCATCATCAGCATCAGCATCATCATCATTATCATCATCGTCATCATCAGCATCATCATCATCACAACCACCATCATAATCATAAGCACAATCAGCATCATCATCAGCATCATCATTATCTCCCTCTCAGCATCATCATCATCAGCATCATCATCATTGTCAGCATCATCGTCATCAACATCAGCATCATCATCAAAATGTCAGCATCACCATCATCAGTATCATGTTCAGTATCAGCATCTGCATAATCACGATCATCAGCAGCATCAGCATCATTGCAATCGTCATCATCAACAGCATCATCAGCATCATCACCACCAGAGTGAGGGGGCCGAACTGTCACTCACGGTCCCTGAGCGCGTGGCTAAGGTGAGGCTCTGCGGTTCGGATTGTTGTTGCTGTTGTTGTTGGTTGTGGTGGTGATGGTGTTTGTTGTTCTGTTGTTTGTTGTCGTCGTTTCCCCCGCGACCCGGCCCGCGACCCACCCGCGGCCCACCCACGACCCACCCCGCTACCCGCCCGGGACCCCCCCGCGACCCCCCCGCGACCCCCCCGCGACCCACCCGAGACCTACCCGCAACATGGCCCGCGACCCACCCGCGACCCACCACGCAACCCGCCCGCGACACACATCCGCGACCTTTCCAAGCTGCTTTAACGAAAAAATCGGCGCCTGCGGCGAGCTCGTTGTATGATGTGTAAAATCTCGGCGCCTGCGGCGAGCTTCTTCAGAGCCTCGCAGAACTGCCGACGTCCCCGCCACCCCCATCACTCTTATCCGCAACTGCGGGGTGCTACGTCATCATCGTCATCATCGTCAGCATCATCATCATCAACAGCAACACCATCCTATACATCATCATCATCATCATCACCACCATCAGCATCACCATTATCATCAGCGTCATCATCATCAGCAGCAGCATCATTAGCATCACGACAAGCATCATCATCAGCAGCATCATCATCAGCATCAGCATCAGCATCACCACGATCAGCATCCTCACCATCACCAACAACACCACGATCATCGTCGTCATCATCGCCAGCAGCATCATCATCACAATCAGCATCGGAAGTGAGGGGGTGAGATCGAAGTGGAACGGAGAGCCCCCCTACCGGGAAATCGGTTCTGGTTTCGTGTTCGTGCGTGCCGTGCGTGCGGGCGAGGCGTAGCTGCGTGGGCGGGCGAGAAGAAAGTCTCCTCCGGCTGAGGCGCGGCCGGACCAAATGATTCCTTTCCGGGGGCTGGTGGCCCGCCCGCCGGTGTCCCGCCGGTGTCCCGTCGGTGTCCCGATGATGATGATGATGATGATGATGATGATGATGATGATGATGATGATGATGTCGATGATGTTGATGACGATGACGATGACGATGACGATGACGATGATGATGATGATGATGATGATGATGATGATAATGATGATGATGGTGATGGTGGTGATGATGATGGTGTCCCGGTGATGATGATGATGTTGACGGTATTGATGAGGATGATGATGGTGATGATGATGATGGAAATGGATGATAATGATGTTGCTGATGATGATGATGATGATGATGATGATGATGGTGTCCCGATGCTGATTATGATGTTGATGATCATGATGATGTTGATGATGATGAGATGATGATGATGAAGATGATGATACTGATGATGGTGTCCCGATGATGATGAGGCTGATGATGATGCTGTTGATGATGATGGTGATGAAGATGTTTTGCCGATTATGATGTTAATGCTCATGATGACGACGATGGTGCCCCGATGATGATGCTGATGATGAGAATGATGATGAGGTAATGATGATGATTGTGGTTGATGGTGATCCGATGATGGTGATGATGCTGATGTTGCTGATGATGCTGGTGTCCCGATGATGATGGTGGTGATGATGGATAAGATGATGATGGTGTCCCGATGATGATGATGATCTTAAGCTGATGTTGCTGATGATGATGATGATGGTGATGATGATGATGATGATGAAATTGATGATGGTGTCCCGATGGTGATGATGTTGATGATGTTCATGATTGTGATGAGATGATGATGGTGGTGTTCCGATGATGATGATGGCGTCCCGATAATGATGATGTTGATGATGATGGTGGCGATGCTGGTGTCCCGATGGTGATGATCATGTTGTTGATGATGTTGATGATGATGGTGATGAGGTGATAATGCTGATGATCGTGTCCCGATGATGATGATGATGATGATGATGATGATGATGATGATGATGATGATGATGATGATGATGAGGTTGATGACGGTGATGACGATGTTGATGATGATGATGGCGTTGATTGTGATATCGATTGTGACATCGATAGTGAGATCGATAGTGAGACCGAATGTGAGATCGATGGCGAGATCGTTTGTGAGATCGATCGAATAAACTAGATCGAGTGAGATCGATTGTGAGATCGATCGAGTGAGATCGATCGAGCGAGACCGATAGTGAGATCGATAGTGAGACCGATCGAGTGAGACGTTGGTTCCTCCCCCCGAACCTCCTTATCACCCGAAGGGTGGTCGTATAGGTACTCAACATATTCCGCAACAACATCAACATCATCATCAACATCACCAGTATCATCACCATTACCGTCACCATCACCATCAGCATCACCAGCAGCATCACCATCACCATCACCATCACCATCATCATCATCATCATCATCATCATCATCAGCATCATCATCATCATCATCATCATCATCAGCAGCAACATCAGTACCATAACCCTTGCCAAAATCATCGTCTCCTCCACCTCCCCCCGCCTCCTCCTCCCACTCCTCCTCCTCATCCTTCTCCTCCTTCTCCTCCTTTTTCCTCATCATACTGCTCATCCTCCTCCCCCTCCCTCTCCTCCTCCTGTTCCTCCTTCTCCTCCCCCTCCTCCTCCTCCTTCCCCCTCCTCCTCGTCCTCCTCCTCCTCCCCCTCCTACCCCTTCTCCTCCTTCCGCCTCCCAGCTGCCTGAAGTTCACTTCAAGAACCATAAGGAGCTCCTGCTGTTCACCAGATGCCTCTCCCCACACCCTGGCGGCACGTTCCCCAGAGCATCTTCTGAGGCCCAACAAGGACTTGAGGTAGGGCGGACCAATAGGGATCAGCAAGTGGATCGGACTTGTAAAGGTGAATTCTTTATAGATGCATCGTCGAGTGTGCTCGGCTTTCCTATGCTGTTGTTGGGGAGGACGAGGAGACCCTCTGCTATGGCAGAATACCCGACTGTGCTCCCCCCTTCCTCAGAACCCTCAGGCCCGCGAATGTTGTGGGCTGCCTGTGGCTGGCTAGCTGGCCCCCCCTTGAAGTGTCGGATATCTGGACTGTTTAAACGTTGTTCGCCAATTAAACCTCCCAAGAAGAGAACGGCTGTCTTACAAGCGGCCGTATGGTGGTTGTTTGATTTTCCTGGACGGAGACCTTCACTCATAATAGTGAAAGGTCACCAGCAAGACCCCCCCGACCTGACAGGCACTCATGCGTATCACAAGCTAGGTAATGACCGTGCTGATGCCTTGGCGAACATTGGTGCGAACCAGCAACCCCAACCTTCCGGTGAGCAACAGCATTGGTTCGACTACATACTCGGCGTTTCAAAACTTGTGTGCGCTCTCTCTGCTGCGCGACTGCCGCACTGGCCAAAATTAGCCATATCCGAAGCTACGCTTGGGAAACGCCCATCCGAGAAAACATCTTCTGGCGTGGGTCACGTTTGGAATTGGACGGTTCCGACAATGCGAGGGATGCTTTGAAGGATCCAGAGCGGTTGCGCAACCTCAGCCTGACAAATGTTACGGCGGTCCATGCATAGGCATCCGTGGAGTGGGGGCTTCCAGATTGAGAGAATTATGTCACCATGAGCCTGGGTTGGATGCGAGCGACCACAGCTTGCTATATCGTTGCGCGCGCTCAAAAATTCGCCACGAATGGTCAAGTCTGGGGCCTCCGCTCTACGTGCGTGCCGCCTCCGAGGGGTAAAGGTGCCGGAGAACAAACTGTGGGCCAAGACAAGCTCTATACACAGGAATGTGCGCTGGCGGGCAAGCATGTGGAGAGAACAGGGGTGACTCTTGTTGGGCCATGGGCCCACTAATCCTCCCAATTAGCTTCTGAGTTTGATCCTGAACCTGCTGAGTATCCCACTCCTCGCCACGTTCCTCGCAAAACGAGGAAGAGCTCAGGGTGGTCAGAACCTCACTGCGCCTTTTAGAAACGACAAGGTCCAGTACTGCTGGGAATGGCATGGATAACGGCAGCTCAGATTTATCATGTTTTGCTCTTTGCTCCTCGCTTCTCGTGCTGTCCCCTGGCGCTGTATCCAGAGCAGTCTCGCCCAACCTGCTGCCTGCTCCTTCTGGCCGCGGAAGCTTCGCGCCTTGCTGGTGGCCAAGAGGGGCAAGATACAAGCTCGGCCTCTGTCCCGGCTCATCTGGCTGGTGGCTTCCGTGTCATGCAAGACGGGCGTTGTTGTGCGCCCCCCCTCTCGTGGCGCTACTGATGGCGGGGCCCCATCTGGGTGGCGTAGGTTGCAGGGTCTCGGACCTGGCGCAACCCCAGATGTTTATTTGATCAGGGCTTCCCAACGGGGGAGGCGCCGTCCTCCCTCAGGCGCGCTGATGAAAGAAAAAACCCTCCTCCTCCTCCTTCTCCTCCTCCTCCTGTTCCTCCTTTTCCTCCCCTTCCTCCTCCTCCTCCTCCTCCTCCTCCTCCTCCTCCTCCTCCTCCTCCTCCTCCTCCTCCTCCTCCCTCCTCCTCCTCCCTCCTCCCTTTTCTCCTCCTCCTCCTCCTCCTCCTCCTCCTCCTCCTCCGCATCCTCTGCATCCTTCTCCTCCGCCTCCTCCTCCTCCTCCTCTCCTCCCACCCCTCCTCCCTCCTCCTCCAGGAGGGGGCTGTCGGGCGCGCGCGGCCCTGTCTGACCCCTGCGGGGGGCGCCCTCGCGGCTGCGGCTGGGCGCCGCTCGCAGATCTGGCCAGGCTGGGCCCTGGAAGGCTCAGGGTATCGGCCTCGTGCCGCGGGGGCGGCCTTATCAGAGGAACTGGGCCCTCCCTATAGGAGGATGGGGGGGGAGGGATACGATGGGGGGGTGGGGGGGGGGGACATCCACCTGGAATCGGCGATGTAGAGCCGAAGCATCGGCGCAAGGCCCACGACAGCGCAGCCGCACGCACGCTCCTGGGCGGGGCGGGAAATCGGTGGAGGTCGACGCATCCCCCCCTGAGCCGACCGCCCCCGACCGATGCCCCCAGACGAGAGCGACCCCTGAACTCGCCATCGCTCGGACGTCCATTCACCGTGCATGTTTCGATGCCGTGCGTGCAAAGGTCGCGAGGCGATCCCAGATGCTCCTCGATTGCCCCCGCCGAGAAACAGACACGTGCACACGTCCGAGCGATGCTGCGCTGCCAGGCCCCACAAGACCGAGCGTGCAGCAGGGCGCCGCCGCCCCGCCGCCCCCCTCCTGCGCGCCGCCACGCCTCGCCCTCCCCCGCACCACCAGCTGGCGCTGCCCAGGCCAGGCCCGCGGCAAGCGCCAGCGGCACGGACGGCATCCTCGCCGCCGCTGCGCGGGCGCCCATCGCACAGGGCCACGGCGGCACGCCCTGGCGGACTGCTCGCCTCGGCCCCGGCACGGCCCTCCTGCTGCCCTCGAGGGCTCCAGGTGCCGTTCTCAGCCCCCGAGTCTGGGCCCCTGTGGAGGAGGAGGACGACGACAACGCAGACAGCCCTGTCGCCGCCGACGCTCCCAACGACGCCGCCAACGAGGACGACGAGGACGCCGCCGACGACGCTGCCGACCCCCAACGCCCGGTCGCCAAATCCATGGATCGGGGGAAAAGCCCTCCCCAAAGTGCGGCCGGTGCCGCCTCGTTCGGCGGCGGAACTCCGCGATTCCCCATGGAAACGGACCCGTCGCTAATCCACGCCCCCTTAATCCATGTTTGCGATCGCCTGAGCGGGGGCCATGGAACAAGGATCTGGGGCGCAAAACTGCCCCCCCCGCCCAAGAAAAGGGTTGAATGTCTTGGCAAGCCAGCCAGTTTCCCTGTAAGCGCGGGATGTCCTGAAACGATAATGAAAGACTTCAGGAAAGCCTTCCGAGGGGCTGCTGAGAGGCATCTGAGAGGCTTCTGAGAAGCTTCTGAGATGCTTCTGAGAAGTCTCCTGGAGGCTTCTGAGAGGTATGCGTCTGAGATCTGAGATCCTTCTGAGAGGCTTGTTGGATCCTTGCGATCGACTTCTGAGAGGCTGATTGGAGACCTTCGAAAGGCTTCGTGGAAGCATTGGAAAGATTTCGTGGAGAAGTCCGAAAGGCTTTTCTGAACATATTCCGAAAGGTTTCTCAGAGGTTTCCGACCACATGTCGAAGAAACTTGCTTTGAGGCATCCGAGAAGCTTCTGAACTTGGAGGCTTCCGAAAGGCTTCTGGGAGGCTTCCGAGAAGGCTTCCTGGAAGCTTCCGAATTGCTCCAGAGAGATTCCCGCGAGGGCTATGACATGCTTCTGAAAGGTTTCTGCGACAATTTGCTCGGGCGTTGCTTCTCGGGAGAGGTGAGGAAAGGTGCACCGACCGTGCACCTTCGGGGCCCCAGGAGTCCCTCCAGGCCTCGCTCCTGCAACCCATTGAAGATTGCAGCGCAACTGTCGATGACCCTCCCTGACGGCGCCCCACCATGACGAAACGCACCAATCTGCCGGAGAAGGGAAAACAGCTTGACGCACAAAGGGCCGAAGGCCCATGGAAGGGGCCTTGACCTCTGGGGCCCTCTGCCCGACAAAAAGACAGTCAGTGCCAGAGGTCTGGAGGGACAGCGGAGCGCTGAGCACTGCTCTCAAGCTATGGGCCCGAACCAAAAGGGACTGCGGAGGCACAGGCGTCCCTTCCTTCGGCTCAGCGGCCAGCGGGGAACCTGCACGCCAACTCCGAGAAACGACCACGTACACGAATTCCTTGGATCGGGACGACCGCGGCGGCGATGATGGCGGCAGCAGCGGCGGCGCGGCGGCCACGGCGGCGACGGCAGCAGCGACGCCGGCGCTGAGCGACAGCGCTGGGCGCCGGCGGTGGCCCACGGCTTGAGCAGGGACCGACCGTCCCAGCATTCCTATAGCCCTACCACGATATGTTCCTAGAACACAACAATGTTCTAAGAACAAAACAATGTTCTTAGAACATAAACCCCATGTGTAAAAACAAGACAATCTCTGCCAGAAATGTTCTAAGAACATGTCGTGGGGACCACAGAAGGTTCTCAGAACATTGATTGGTAGGGCTATAGGCGAGCCAGGACGCTTCGCCACTGCTTGAACGGCGGCGCCGCCCCAGCGGCCCCGGCGGCGGCTCCTTCGCCGCCGCCGCCGCCATGGCCGCCGCGACGTCTTGTCGCCGGCCGGCGGGCGCCCCTCCGCGGCGAGCGGCCGCCGCCGGGCCGCCGAGGGGCGATCGCCGCCGCCGCCGCCGTCGCCGCCCGTCGTCGCCGCGGCGGCCGTCCGTGCGTCGTCGCCGCGCGTCGTCGCCGCGCGTCGTCGTCGTCGCAGCGCGTCGTCGCCGCGCGTCGTCGCGCGCGCGTCGTCGCCGCCGCCGTCCGCCGTGCGTCGTCGCCGCGGCGGCCGTCCGCCGCCGCCGCCGCCGCCGCCCGCCCGCCGCCCGCCGCCCGCCGTCCGGCGTCCACGGGCCGCCGTCGCTCTCGCACCGCGCCGTTCTCGTGCTTGACGCGGCGCGGGCTTTGGCTGTCGGAGGCGCAGCCTCTGTGTCGTTGGCCTCGTCCCCCGCCTCCTTCGCTGCTGTCCGCCGCCCCCCCTTGCCTTTCTCCTTCTTCTGCTGCTCTTTCTCTCCTCCCTCCTGCCTCCCTCCCATCCCCCTCTCTCTGTCTCTCTTTCGAAAGTGTTGTTTTTTTTGTTGTTTCTTTTTTTTGTTGTTCTCTCTCTCTCTCTCTCTCTCTCTTTATTTCTGTCCTTCTGGATCCTCTGGACCCCCCCCCAAACGGGACCCTCTGGATCCCGGGCCCCAGGGCCCCCCTGGACGCCCCTGCAGAAGGTCCCTTGGGCTTCTGGGAGCTTCTGAAGCCCATGCTGGGCCCAGGCAGCGGGCCCAAATCGGTCAGGAGGGCGGCTGAACGACCCCCCGAGGGCCCCAAGAGGCCCCAAACACCCACCAGACGCCCGAAGACGACCCAAAGAACAAACCCAGGAGGCTTCCGAAACGCAGGAAAACATTGATTTACAATTGTTGTTGCATGATGGTGGAAATGCTCTGTTTTTCGGTCTTCCAGACGTCCGAGACCGCCCAACGCTCCCCGAAGCATTCCAGATCGTGGCCCTGCCGTTCAGGGAGACCGAAGTTGGAAGCAGGGTGGCCCGAGGAATCCCCCAGAGGCCCACCGAAGGCGCCCAGGGGGCCTCCAGAGGGCCACAGGTAGCCCAGTAAGGCTCTCGTCAGTCCCCCGAGAAGCTCTCCACGGAGCAGCCTCCGCAAGCAGAGCAGGTGAGAATGGGGAAGAATTCGCAGGAGAGGGCGAGAGTGAGGAAGAGGAAGAAGACGCATGAGGAAAACATGCAGAAATACATTGTTACGACGACGATGTCAGACAAGGCAACGAGGAATGATCGTTACATGTTCTGCTTGACCTTCCCTGCCCTGCCGCCGCGATTCCCGCCTGCATACCAATCTGCAAGGACCGAGGCGCATGGCGCGAAGTGCCACACCAGTCTTGTATACATGCAAGCATGTGTTATACATATATGTATGTATGTAAATGTGCATGGTTCCATCTCTACATTGGTATAACACATACATGTATATATCAATATATACATATATATGTATATATACACATGTTTGTACACTTTTGAAACTATATGTGTGTAGATGTGGGTATACACAAACACACATATACATGTGTATACATTCATGTGGTGCAATCGATGGGGTGCATTCTACGTGGTGGCGGCGCGGGCGGCGACGGTGCCGCGACGGCGGTCACACAGCGGCGGAACCGACAATCAAGTCCCGACGAGGGGCGGCGACGGCGGCCACATGGCGATCAGAGCAGCCGCAGGCCCAGCTCCTTAGAGAAGACAGCAGATGCCCTAGTTGCAAGCACTGTTTGAGCAACGCTCGTGTGACCGAAGAACGGTGCTCTTTGGAGCGTGAAGGCGGCGAACTCAGATCAGGCTGCTTCGACCACGAGTGCTCTAAGAGCATCCAGTGCAGGAGGAGGAGGAGGAGGAGGAGGAGGAGGAGGAGAGGAGGAGGGGGAGGAGGAGGAGGAGGAGGAGGAGGAGGAGGAGGAGGAGGAGGGCCACGAAAGGGTGTCCCTGGCCACGGCGGGCCCGTGACACGAACAGCTTCCACGACACCCACCTGGAGAACGGCCCGAACGCCCGAGCCCCTCCCGGGCCCAACGCGCCCTCTCTCTCTCACCGCCCTGACCGACACCGCTCCCCCTCGGAGCTCCCCTGGGGTGCGTCCTGACCCCGAGGGGTCGTGCGGGCCTCCGAAGAGGCCCGCAGAAGGCGGAGCAAAGAGGAGGCGAGGGTGGCGGTATGGGCACCGGTGCCTCCTCTGGTCGGTGGGCCCATCGTTGGGGAACGAAGCATGACAGAAACACAAAACCTCGGAGGCCCGCGCGGATTCCTCGGATCCGCGCTGGACCCGCCTGGCGGCGCCTCCGGCGCCGCCCTTGGCGCGCCCCGCGCGCCAAGGAGAGGGGTCCAGCGCGGATCCGAGAACTCCGCGCAGACCTCCGAGATTTCATGTTTATCACTCTTCGTTCCCCAGCTTTTAGGGAACCCGCAAAAGACGTACGCGCCCAGCTGTGTACATGAGCACGGCCCCTTGACCCGCGAGACGGCCGCGTGATACGAACATTCGCGCAGTGCGAAGTCTCGAAAACGGCGTGGATTCGTGTACGTGCACGCCTTGCGGTCGCTCTTCATGTACGTGTACGTCCTTCTTTCGCTCCTGAGCTATGGGCCCATAGGCTCCTCCTCCTCCTCCTCCTCCTCCTCCTCCTCCTCCTCCTCCTCCCCAGGACGCTTCGCCACTGCTTGCACGAGGCGCGGCGAGGCGCGGCGCCTCCCCTGGCGGCTGCTGGCGGGGAGGGCCGCAGGGGCGGCGCCCGCGGCACGAGGCTCGAGCCTCCCGCGGCCCTGCGCCGGGCGCCGCGGCCTCGACGCCGGCGCCCCCAGCGCCTCGTCTCCGGAGGCCTCGCCCTCGGCGCCTCGCCTGCCTTCCCTGCCTGCCTGCCTGCCTCACTCCGCCGCGCGTCCCTGCCTCGTTGTCCTTCCTCCTCCCTCCTCCTTCGCTGTCCCCCCCATCCTCCCGTTCCCGCTCCTGCTCCCGCTTCTGCTCCTCTTCCTACACGGTTTCCTCCCGCTGCTGCTCGCTGTCCTGCTCCTGGCCCTCTCGCTCCCCGTTTCTTCTGTGCCCCAGCGGAGAGCAAGGGCTCCCAACTTCGCGAATCACGTCGCGCTCTCGCGCCGCCTCCCAGGGGAGAAGAGCAGGATGAAGAGGAATCGGAGCCGAAGCGCGAAGCGCGAAGAACTTCGCGCCCTCGAGGGCGCCCTTGGAGGCGGAGGAGGAGGAGGAGGAGGAGGAGGAGGAGGAGGAGAGGAGGATGAGGAGGAGGAGGAGGAGGATGGAGGAGGAGGAGGAGGAGGAGAGGAGGAGGAGGAGGAGGAGGAGGAGATGGAGCAGGAGCAGGAGCAGGAGGAGGAGGAGGAGGAGGAGGAGGAGGAGGAGGAGGAGGAGGAGGAGGAGGAGGAGAGGGGGGGGGGGGGGAAATTTGGGCAGGATGGGCCGGCAAGCGCTCAAGGCCAGCGGGACCCGGGCAGGGACGGCCCGCGGCGGGCCGAGGTGCCCACTCGTGGTAGGGGCTGCTGCCGCAAAAGGCAGCACCCATGCCAGAGCACATCCCGCGACGCGGAGTTCCCCAAATGTGCATTTTCAAATCCACTTGCGTCGAAACAAAAACGAATACAGTCAAAAACCCTGATAAGGACGCCCGGCAAGGACGCAAGACCCTTGGAAGCCGAAGTTGGGATGTTTGGGGCGGCGGACGACGAAAACCTCAAGGACGCAAGAGCAAGGAAGAGCAAGGACGCAAGGGTACCCTGAGCAAAGCCGCGCGTCCTTACTAGGGTGTTTGACTGTAGGGGCTGCTGCCGCAAGAGGAACATCCATGCCAGAGTGAATCCCTCGACGCGGAGTTCCCCAGAGGTGCATTTCAAACCCAAGGGCTTCGAAGCGAAAACGAAGATCCCACCCCGCAGGATACGGGCAACAAGAATCAAGGCGGACAGCCCAGACATACCCCCTACGGCAACGATCGCGTCTGCTGGAGCAACTAGGGCGCAGTGGGAGGAAGAGCTCGAGGCGAAACGGCGGGCAAAGGCGGCTGGTCCGAAAAGCAAGGGGGAGGCTGGAGCGGTGATTTCTCCCCCTCCCAGGGGGAGTATCAAAATGTTCCTCCCCAGCCGCCCGAAAGCTCCGACGACGCGTTCGAGTGGTCGGCAATATTGCCGAAGCGCTTCCTGGTAGGATTCCCCGGGCCCGATGGTCGGAACCTTTGGCGAGATCAGCGGGGCCCCGCTTGCGCACAGCCACTTTTGCGAAGCTGGGCCGACAGTGCACAGACGCAAACCCGACGACCAAAACGCGGAAACTGTACTCATCCGACGGGCGGCGGCCGTCCCCGCCGGCAACGCCACTTGAGCATGGGGGCTGTCCGTGGGACTTGCATGGGAAGCATATCCTGGCGTTTGGTTTGGGCCTGGCGCAGGCCGCCACAGCGAAGACACCGCCTCCGAATCGGGAAACGCGTGATCGGTTCCTGCCAACTCTAGAAACCACGCCCAGTCGAGCCAACACGCACCCCTGCAGTGGGGGGGCGGGGGCGGCCCTGGTCCCAGCCCCGGCCCCGGGGTCCCGGGGTCCCGAAGGCCGAAATGGGTACGGAAAGAATGGGTACAATGCCCAACAGCAGATCCTGTTCATGGCGTCGCGCACAGTCGTGTTGCAAGAGCTTCACGGGTGGATGGCTTCTCCCGAACAAAAAAGTGGCTCTCGTCTGGGCGCCGCGCACATTCGTAGAAGAAGGTGAACCAATCTCACAAACTACAAAGGTTAGCATCCCAATATTGGTGTTTCGGCACAAGGTCAGACCGTCAGGGCGCAACTGTTACGTTGGTTCGTGTGTTCTGGCACGATTCAGGATCACCGCCAAGACGCAACAGTTACGGTAATTCGCGGCGTTGAAGCCCCACGGATGATGTTCTGGCACAGTCGATTCAGACGGTTGTTTTCCAGCGGGGCAAGTCTTTCAGTGTAAATGGATCCAACTGTAGGGGCCTATGAAGACCAAG